TAGAACTGAACTGATTGATGACTAGTACTCCCTATCTTCTTTATTTTATTTACATTTTGTAAGACTGGTTTGCTTATTTACATTATATTCCAGACTGATGGAATATTATATATATATATATAAAAACAAAACAATACACACCCCAGGACATCAGAGTGCACACAGGGTTTTGTGTGTTTTTATATTGTGTATAATTAGCTTTGTACACGTTTGAGTAAGTTTATTATGTTTGTTTTGCAAGAGTTTTATTGGAGTCTTGTGTGATCATTCATCAGGTGAGGGCAGAGTGACATTTGGAGGAAATAAAATGAGAATACTGCTTCTTTGAAACAAGGACAAATTTAGAGTTGACTAATTTGGGGCACCAGTGCAGAAAAAAAACATTCTGATAAAATTGTTTTATTTATTTGAAAATTTCTCATTTGAATGCATTTTCTCCATTTGTAGAATCTATTAATTGTTAAATTAAATTATATGTATTTATTCATTTGGCAAATGCTTTTATCCAAAGTGTTTGTGATATATAATGAGCAATAACATAATATAAGTGATTCATCCTAGTGAGGCCGTAAAATGAGACGTGTTGCAAAATATTGTTCCAAGATTGTCCAGATAAGTACAGATTAGATTAAAGTGAGAAATTGTGAGATCATAGTAGAGGATTTTTTTTTCTCCCCATGTATCCAAATGCCTCAGCATTGCCTCTCTCATACTTGTCTTTTCTGAGCAGCAGTCTGGTCAAGCATTTTTTGGTTTGTTTTTGAACTATCAAAAGGTCAATCTTGTGTTCACTCTGGTATTTTGGCAGGTTTTTGCCATCCCAGTCACATTGTAGTAACTAAGAGGAAGTCAACTTTACTATGACTGTTATGATTCAGTTAATGTTATTCAGTTTTTTTAACTGATGAGATCATCAAGGGAGTGGTGCTGTTCAGGTGAGCAGTAAGGTTTCTTTCTAACCTGACCCAGTTGGCAGGGTGACCCAGAGTACAGAGATCATCGTTTTTGGACTTTCTGTTAAGTAAAATCCTGTGTTTCAAAGTGTTTTTTTTTTTAAACAAACAATGTTGCTTGACTTTTTGTCTAAATAAGTGCAAGTGGTTTAGGTTGCAACTTTCAACACATGATGTATGTAGAGTACTTTAAACCTGACCAGTGTTCTTATTAGAGCCCGACCGATATGGGTTTTTTGGGGCCGATACCGATATTAGGGAGTAAAAATGGCCGATATCGATAT